TTTTTGGGCGAGATTCTATACATCAAGTGGTCATTTATCCCATAAAGTGACGTTGTGTATCGTTTTTAGAAAACCCCCTAATCTGTGGAACCTGTATTTAGCGGTCAACCTGTACTAAGCTGTCCCCTGTGGCTGAACGCTTAAATACAGGTTAGACTGTAGTTGTTGATAACTGTTTTGAAGAGTCTGTTTTAATTCAGTAAACCAGCTCCAAAGGTAAACCAGCTCCAAAGTGAACTGTTGAAAGTACAATGTAGTTTTAACATTGAACACACTCCCAGTCATAATCGTGGCTCAGCAACGTGATAGTTTGTCGGGAATCGTGTGTTTACATAATCAAACCTTTTTAACGCGTTTAAATTTCGTTGTTTAATCCACCGGAAAGGGATAGGCATCGAATCTGTCATCTTTAGTAACTGTAAGCAATCAAAGGAAACATTCACCGATTGTATATCCTTTGTTCTAAAATACACCACGTGTGTTGTAAAAAATACTCGGCACGTTGTGAGAGAAAAATGTATCTGTTAAAAAGTTATATCGTGAGTGACTGATTTTAGGGCGAGTTTATCGGGAAAACCGCTGTGTTGTCAGGCAATTATCTTATTCCCAACACAAAGTGGCACCTCCGGTGGGAAAGGAACAAAAGAAAGGGGAAAATAATCAGATCTGACGCCGGGATTTTACAATGGAGAAACTGCTCGCGGATCTGAACACACAGTTACAATTGCTTAACTTCACCAAGGATAAGAGCGAAGGAATCATCGCAAAGGGAAACGTGGAAGGTGTGGAACGTCAAGTAGATAAGGGTTTTCACGATATTTTTCTAGCAATGTACCCCACTGCCATTTTGGGTAGTAGTTGAAAATTGAAAAAAAATGCTTGCATAGGAGCCCAGTGTGGCAAAAATCAGGACAGTTACATTGTAATATTACATTCCCAGCACCAAAAGACAGGTTGTTCCTGTGTTTCTTGAGAGTGATCTCACTTGGAATTGACCAACTTCTGTGCCAGTACAAACTTCCTTAATGTGCTGGGGTTCTACTTCATCAGCTGATCTTATCCGTTGTCTGCAATGGTTAACAAATGGTCTGGGTTTATTGTGCAAGTATTTTGGCACATCTGAGTCGTAACACCTGTACTGTTCAGTGCACCTTGTATTGAGCTCTGCATATCGGAAAATAAACAGCTTTTTAGTGTGCTGTTTGTAATGTTGATAGTGATATCTGACTTTCAAATGTTTCAGATTTGTTACATTAACAGGGTGTCAAGTGGCAAATGACACTTAGAAAATAGGAATGACAGAGGCCAAAAAATAGGAAAGGAATTCTCACCCCAAAATAGGAAAAAATAGGAGGATTTGTTTGAGTTCCATCCTCTCAACACTCCCAACAGCAACTCTGTTCCACAACCTAATGCTTTAATATTCAACAGGCACCATGGCATTCATCCACAATGCATTGCCGTATAAACAAAAACAAGTGTTACTACCCAAAGTATGTTACCACGCACAACTCGTCCTACAACAATTACCAGATTCCAAATTTCATCAGATACATCACAAGATGCCTTTAATTTAAGTCATTAGTCCTTTAAAACTGAGAATTACAAGCAACAATAATTTTTTGACAAACCAAAACAATATCAAAGTTCACCGTCACCAAATGTATGTCTGCCTTACAATAAAAGCTAACCATGACTTTTGAACATCACTAACCAAAAAGTCCAACACTATACTGTTTTAATTTGCTCTTTTAGTAAAAGGACTGAGGAAGTCTGGGCTCGAGTTTCAGAAGAAAATCACTCAAAGGCTTCTAACTGGTCTTTTTTGACATGAAGTTTTAGTTTTTGTAGAATTTATCAATTTTATTGGCAATTTTATTTCAAATATTTCAAAATGTTTCTGCGTACCTAGTAAAACCCTAAAAATTAGGAAAAACTAGGAAGTTCATGAAAAAATAGGAGAAAATAGGAGGCAGGCCAAAAAATATGAAAAATAGAAACTTCACACAGAGCGCTAAGTAGCTCAAACCTATTTCCAGCACATTTACTTTGCTGGAACATTAGTACTACTCTTCATCAGTTGATGCTTTATCTAACAAATTATGATCATTTTCTTGGCATACTAGGTTAACAACAGTGTAACCTAAAGCTTTAACTGGTTATAACTCGAAGACGAGTTTTTTATTATTGAACTGTAATCAGTATGCTAAGGTGTAACTTGAAAAGTTTAAAAAAGATTGGGAGTGGATTCAGAACCATCGTAAATAATATAAAATTTAAGGTGCAATTTAGCATACTGATGACAAACTGATAATAAAAACGGGTCACTGAGCTTGTTTTCCAGTTATAACAACTGAAAGCTAAAATGAGGTGTGTTTTCCACAGGTTATACTGTTGCTATGGTAACCTGTTATGCCAAAAAATTATTGTAACTTTCAAGCAAGGATTGTACATTTGTTTGGTACCAGTACTATAGCATCAACTGATAAAGAGTGGTAATATTGATCCATCAAAGTATACATGCAGGAATGTGCTGATAAAAGGTTTGACCTACTTTAATCCATACAATGAGCATGAGAATTTTTGGATTTGCTAACTGCATTAGTACCTTCTGTATTTGTCAGATAAAAATTCCTCCA